GCCATTTCTCTAAATCAATCCCATATCCAAAATTCTTCCCCCAAGCAATCATAGTTTCTTTAACTTGTTCTTCTTCTAGTTTAATTTCTAATAAATATCCATACAGTTTTTTTAATCACCTTTTCGTCAGTACCTGTCAAGATCTTATCTAAATCAGTCAATTTGTCATAAAATCCTTCTGTTTTAAAATCTTTATCATACCTTGAATGTATTTGCGCATATGAAAACCAATTTCATCTTTATACCTTGTTCCTCTAGATTTTGCATTGATTTAAGTTCACCCTTTTCATTCAATATTTCCCCATATCTAACTGTTTGTTCCTTCTTATATATTATAGGGTAAGAAAATGCTTCTATAGTCGATAACCAGACTGGAATTTTCAAATAACATTGTTTTTTAATCTTCTCTCAATTTAACCACAAAGACTCCCGTATATGATGTCTTCTAAAATATCCCTGTGTTTTAGTTCCCTTGTACCATATAAAAGCATGCCACCCCAACAACAAATCATGTCCTTCTAATGTCAACAATCTAGTGTTTCTTAATGTTATCCATTCCTTCAACCACATCAAATTTGTAGCTTGGTAATACAACACCCAATTAGGCAGACCGAATCCTCCTCTGATTCTAGCGTCTTGCAAAAGTTTTAACTTTATTCTCGCTTTCTTACCTTGCCATATATATTTCAACACAATTTTATTTAAATCTTCAAAATAGTCTTTTCCAAGCCTAATTGGGATTGTTTGAAACAAATATAAAATTCAGGGTAGTATATTCATCTTGATTGTTGAAATTCTCCCTATTAATGACAATTGTAGATTTTCCCATTTCGCCAAGTCTAACGCTATCTGCTGTTTAAGTTTAATATAATTGTTCTCTTTTAATGTACTACATCTTGATGTAAGATGTATCCCCAAATACTTAATCTTATTCGTGACTTGAATTTTCAATAGATCTGCCTTTTGTCTTGATAACATATTCTTTGTCAAAATCTTTGTCTTATCTTTGTTAATTTTCAAACCCGCCACCTTGCCATATGCCTCTACCTTTTCCAGTAGTTTTGGTGCTGTTTCTAAAGGGTCTTCTAAGATAAAGACCAAGTCATGCGCAAAGGCTTGCAATTTAAATTCTTCCTTTTTAATTTTCATTCCTTTTATACACTTTTCATCTCTAATATTTCTATTTAGTACTTCCAAAGTTAGCACAAATAGCAAAGGTGATAGTGGGCACCCTTGTCTTGTTCCTCTTCTTATATTAATAGAGTCTGTCAATTCTCCCTCTATCATTACCTTTGCCGTTTGTTTGTAGTATATGGCTTCTATTGCTTGAATAAATTTTCTGGCAAACCCCATCTGTTCCAACAATAACAACATGAATCGCCAATTCACATTATCAAATGCCTTTTGTACATCCAGAAATATCAAAGCCATCTGCTTTTCAGGGTGTGCCTCATAGTATTCCAAAGTATCCAAAATTACTCTCATATTGTCTTTAATTTGTCTCTTTGGCAGAAATCCATTTTGATCAGGATGGATAAAGTTATTTAAATATTTTTAAGTCTTTCTGCCATTATTGAAGCAAAGATTTTATAATCTGCATTTAGTAACGAAATAGGTCTATCTTAATCTGCAATTGATCAGTCTCTTCTTTTGGAATGAGTGTGATAATATCACATTTCGATTCTTACTATGTTACAGAGCACCTGATTATGACATCGAACATGTAAACAAGCTAAATTCACTAATAACATGGGCAACATCCTGCCCATACGCTTTTATCTTTCTTGGTGACTTCAATCTACTTCATATTGACTGGACCCTAAACGAATGTACAACTGAACCCATACACACAACCTTCTACAATGCTGTTACAAATCTGGGATTGGAACAACTAGTAACCAACAATACTAGACTTAACAACTGCCTCGATCTCATCTTCTGCAATAGTTTGAATTTAATTTACGGAATACAAACTAAAGAACTCTTTTCCAACAGTGACCACAATATGATTGACTTTTGTCTCAACATACGCCCACACAAAAATTATCACAATGACATAATCCCCAATTATAACTTCAAAAAAGGCAACTATGATCTTGTAGACAACGATCTCTCCTCCCTTGATTGGCAATCTCTATTCACTGGATGCAGTACTGTTGAAGACCATTACAACATATTTTTACTTGAAGTCAAAAGAGTCATCAAACTATATGTACCAACAAGAACTCCCAAAACAAAAAAAAAACAGATTACCCATAACAATAAGGAAACTTCAATCCAAAAAGAGATCACTCTGGCGGAAAAACAAATCTGGTCACGTTGCCAATTTCAAAAGACGATACAAAAATTTATGCCACAAGATAAAGACTGAATGCACCAATTATCATATTAAACAAGAGGAAAACCTTCTACGCATCAATTCCACCCACACTTTTTACAATTTTGTAAACAACAAACTAAAAGACTCAAGGTCCATCCCACCCCTGATAGGACCTAATGGCAAAGATTGTAACGATGACACCATTAAAGCCAACATCTTTAACACATTCTTTGGTTCAGTATTTGTAAAAGCAATGGAGCCAACATCTTTAACACATTAAAGCCAACATCTTTAACACATTCTTTGGCTCAGTATTTGTAAAAGCAATGGATCATGCCCAGTATTACCTAGCCAAACCACAGAAAACTACAATGATCTAATACATATCGATTTTACAGAAGACAATGTTGAAAAAGCACTACACAATCTAAAACCATCTCTATCTATTGGACCGGACGGAATATGCGCCTACTTCTTAAAAAAGCTATCCACTGCCATAGCAGAACCTCTAAGCATAATCTTTGAAAAATCTTTCAGGACCAACTCCTTGCCTAGCCTATGGTTACAAGCCACGATCATCAAAAAGGGAGACCCCAGCCTAGTTGAAAATTACAGACCAATTTCCTTATGCTGCATCACCTGTAAAGTCATGGAATCAATTATTAACCATTATCCTCCACTTAGAGACAAACAATCTATTCTCCAATAAACAATTTGGTTTCAGAAAAAAACTATCCTGTAATCTGCAATTCTTACACTGCAAAAACATATGGACTACACAACTTGATCAGGGCAAAGCAATAGACGCAATCTATATAGACTTCTGTAAAGCCTTTGATTCAGTGGTACACGACAAACTACTCCTAAAACTAAAATCTTATGGTATCTCTGGACAACTGCATAACTGGATAGAAGTATACCTGTCAAACAGACAACAAATGGTCAAAATTGGGAGTGTCCTATCAAATTCTGTACCTCTCAATAGTGGTGTCCCCCAAGGCAGTGTTCTAGGACCAACTCTCTTCATACTCTACATAAATGACCTCTGTGATCATATTAAGAGCAACTGCGTTCTCTTCGCTGATGATGTAAAGCTGTTCAATACCACAGACAATACTGCTACCCTTCAAGAAGATCTTGACTATGTATCAGAATGGTCAAACAAATGGCAACTTCAAATCTCAACAAATAAATGCTCTGTCTTACATATTGGCAAAAAAAATCAAAAAATAAAATACAAGCTGAATAGTCAAGACCTTGTTGATCCAAGCTCTGTAAAGGACCTTGGAATACTCATCTCTAATGATCTAAGTGCTAGAGCCCACTGCAACTACATAGCCAAAAAGGCATCAAGAGTTGTTAAACTAATCCTACATAGCTTTTTCTCTGGTAATATCACACTACTAACTGGAGCATACAAAACATTTGCTAGACCAATACTCGAATACAGCTCATCAGTCTGGAACCCACATTACGTATCTGATATTAGCACAGTTGAGAAAGTCCAGAAATATTTCACAAGAAGAGTTCTCCACTCCTCTACTCATTGTAGAATACCTTATGCCACCAGACTTGAAATTCTAGACCTAGAAAACCTTGAATTACACTGTCTTCGGTCGGATCTAAGTATGGTATATAAAATCATACATTGCAATGACTTACCTGTCAATGATTACTCCAACTTCAACCATAACAACACAAGAGCACACAATAGATACAAACTCAAGGTTAACTGCACCAAACTTGATTGCAGGAAATACGACTTCAGCAACAGAGTGGTCAATGTCTGGAATACTCTACCTGACTCTGTGGTTTTTTTCCCCAAACCCCAAAAACTTTAACCTTAGACTGTCTACTATTGACCTCACCCCTTTCCTAAGAGGTCTGTAGGGGGCGTGCATAAGCGCACCAAGGTGCCTACCATCCCTGTCCTATTGTTTCTTTTATTTTTCTTATATGCAGCCATTTCATGTATTCATAACTATGTATATATTTATACCTATTATCTTGCAAGCGATTGACAAATCAAATAAATAAAAATAAATAAATAAGTTTGCCAGGTAAGGAGTGAGTAGGCAGGGAGGGTTTCCACGGGCCATGTGGGCAGCGCAGCCTTGTGTTTCTGCACAGCCTGGATTAATTGCTTTGGGGGGGTGCTCTGGGGGTGAGATTTCTCTGTGGCCCACCAAAATTTTCTCACGGCCCACAGTGGGCTGTGGGCCACCGGTTAGCAACCACTGCTTTAAAAGACAACACCTTACATGGAGCCTGGGTGGCGTAGTGGTTAGAGTGCAGTACTGCAAGCTACTCCCACTGCAATTTGGCAGATTGAATCCCACCAGGCTCAAGGTTGACTCAGCCTTCCATCCTTCCGAGGTAGGTAAAATGAGGACCCAGATTGTTGGGGGCAATATGCTGACTCTCTAAACCGCTTAGAGGGGGCTGTAAAGCACTATAAAGCGGTATATAAATCTAAGTGCTATTGCTATTTCTTCTTTCTCTTTTTCCCACCACCATGTTATTGTAGGCTGTGCTGGATTTGTTGTTCCATGACTGACCAAAGCCACCCACTCAGTGTTTAACACTTTTTTCTTAACTTCATAGCCTTTTAGCCAATCCAGTGTTAATCAGAAAGTGTTAAAATTCTTGGGCTGCAACTGAACTTTTTCCCTCTCTCTAGGCTGCTGCTATGGGTCCCAGACAGACTCAATAGAAATCAGTATGATCAGCAATCCTCCTCAAACTTTTAGAACCAAAGTGGAATTCAAATGTGAGACTTACACGGATTCTGGAGTGTTCTGGGTTCTTCAGGAATTGAATGGAAAACTCCACTTCATTACATATGTTACATCAAGATCTAGAGAGATAACAGGCACTCTTGAAGGCTACAAGTCTATAAAAACTGGCAGCTACTATCAGCTAACTATTGCCAGCTTTGAGGAGTACCACGAGGGTACCTATTTTTGTGTGCACCATCGCAATCAGAAGCTGCTTTTTAGTTCAGGCATCCCAGTACACCTGCCAGGTAGGTTTCATCGTAAGTTTTAAATTCCCCATTTATATCTTCCCTGCCAAATCAGCTTCTGCTCTATCTTGTGGTTAGGGATGATATTAATCAGGGGAGAATTGCTTGGCTTCGCTGCATTCCCCCCCCCCGCCCCCATTTCTTATATCTATAATGATTTTGGAATCATTTAAAACTATGGAAAAGAAACCTTGTTATAAACCATCCAGTCATTAACCATGAAAATAGAAGAAAAACACTTTAATATCTATCTTGTCTACAGTGAAAACTACTACTCTGCCTCCTACCACGCTACAGCAAATTTCAACCACCACCAAAGGACTGATAAAAGAAGGTATAAAATGTCCCAATTCTACAGACATAGGTATGTTTCTTTAACATACTTCCAAATTTGAGGCCATAGGTGAAACACAGTCATGTCACTTTAGGCTCTGGGTTTAACATAAAAAACATCTCATGTTGCAGACAACACATATCTTTGATTTTCATCAGGAGAAAATAAGGGAAGTCAATTCAACAAGGAATTGAATGGAGTTGAATTGAATTGTTTAACAAGTAAAGACGTGTGAATATAATATTCCCCTGCAATGGGTTACCAAGGAATTTTTACTGTGGTGCTTCAAAGTATCGATCTATTTTTCCACACTAGAGGCCATATTTTTCATATGTGTGTTTCATCCATCCATCCAAATGCAAGTTCAACAGTCATTTCAAGTTGTTGAGAGAAGCATCTCTGGTCATGGCTGAACATTAGCTGAGCAGAGCATCCTGAGACTGCTTCTCTATCTTTCTTCCTCCAATGGATTTATCCTTCTCCAATGGAGCGAACAGTTGGAAGGGCTGTTTGAGCCAGAGAGGAATAATGCAAGTCAGTTAGCAATGTAAACAAGAGCCATCCACATGAAGTGGGTGTAAGGTTTTAACTGGAGCGGGGGGGGGAAATGCATTAATAAGCATTTCTGCAAAGTTCCTAGTAATCATTGGCACTATGGGTGGTTCTCGACTTACAACCACAATTGAGCCCAAAATTTACTTTAAGTGAGAAATTTGTTAAATGAGTTTTGCCCCATTTTATGACTTTTCCTGCAGTCGTAATCACTGCAGTTGTTGAATTGGTACCCTGGTTGTTAAGTGAATCTGATGTGAATCTGACATTTTTGGAAACATCACTCTTCCTTTGCTTTATGTTTCAGTAATGACAAATACAAAAAGTACAATGTTCTCCTGTGAACTTTATATATGGGTTCCCCTGGTTGGTGTTTCTCTCCTTCTGCTGATAACCCTGATAATCGTCATATCGTTATGCTGTGGTAAGAAGATTTCCTTTAAACTATGTTTGATGGTTCAACTGTTGACAGTTACTGAGTGATTAGTTTAAAATTAGATATATATCTACTTGTGTAAATATGGGTCCCATTCTAGCATCTTGCTTCTTGTTTCTTGAATGATTATAAATACTTATTCACATAAAGAACTAGTTTACTTGAGCCATTCTAAAACTATGAAACATTTCTGATGCAAATTTAAAACCATTCTGCAATCCATGTTTACACATGCAAGAGGAAAATGAGAGGGGAGCTGATGATTGCTCCATAATAGTACTCAAGAAACTGACTAAATGGTGAGGAATGTAAAGATTTATATTCTTTGCAATCATCTGATCACTAGCCCTCTGAAGATGCATTGTTAACTCTTTGAGAGTCTAAGAGTTGTTGAGGCCACTTGGGGCTTTATCTGTACCCTCGGGGTCACTTGAATTAGGGTGCAAATGGGTGTGTAACCTTCTTGTTGTAGACAGGAGATATAGGAGATATTGTATCTCCCCCTCTGTCAAGTGAGGGCTGCTCAATTTTAACATAGATAACCTTTTTACCCCTCTTTTGAACAGTACACATCTCTGTCCAGAATGTGGACTTTGCTGTCCTCAAAAGAGTGACCTTTGTCTTTCAAATGCAGATGGACTGCTGAATCTTGTCCTGATGGGCTTGTCCTCCTATGTGGTAGCATGCATTTGTCTGAAGAAGAACAAAGAAGTCAAAGAAGAGAACAGAGAAAAAAAGAGAACAACAAACGAAGCAACATTGTCCTTGCATATGTTGCAGGAATATCTGCAAAAGTTCAGGAGGATTTTCAACCAACACAACATCGGTGTACACTTTAAACCCAAGAATACACTAAGGCTTGTCCACCCCAAGGATGAAACACCCAGACAGAAACTGAGCAATGTGATATATGTAGTACAATAGAATGAGACATGTACATTGGAAAAACAAAACAACCACTTCACAAATGCATGGCACCACATAGAAGGACAAACTCATCAGAACAAGATTAAGCAGTCCATCTGATGGATTCAGTAAAACCATTGGTTTGAAGAGGGGTCAAAGAAGCCGTCTACATTAAAATTGAGCAGCCCTCTGTCAATGGGGGGGGGAATACAAAACCACCTACCTCTTGTCTATAACAAGTCCTTTCAGTAGTCTCAGAAGAAGGTTTCACGCCCACTTGCTCTTTGATTCAGGTGATTCTGAGGATACAGATAAAACCCCAAGTGGCCTCAATGATTCTCAGAGAGCTAATGACTGATATTCAGAGGGCTAACGACTAGATGGCTGCAAGGAATATAAATTCTTCCATTTCCCACCATTCAATGAAGAAGCTTCTTGTGTGAGAAGTAAACATTTTCTAGAAAAAACTTATAAAGTCCAGTTGCTTTTTGAAAAGCATCTTTGGGATAACCATGACCTGGATGATTGAGAATCTTCATAGATGTCTCCATCTACTAGATATATTTGTCATCATTATGAATTTGGGTAATACAGTATATCAAAAATGAAAAAATAGCAAAACAGCACAAAACATTCTTTTTTCAAATGTATATGTGTATATTTTTCCTGCCAAAGGTTCAAGGAGGGGAAGAAGAAAATGCAAATGTATACGGTGAGTTTTCCATTATGCTGCCTTTTTCCTTTTCCATACATTAAGCTGCACTTACTGCAATGGGGTTGAAACATTCTATCAATCTCCAGATTTATTTTTAAATTTCAATATTTAATTGCAGAAATAGGATGATATTTGATGGACATGAGCAGCCCAGAGATTGATACTATATGATGAAAAAGTTATGAGTTTGGCAAAATGCAAACTGGATAACTGGCTTTCTGAAATAAACAGGTTTATCATAAATAGGGCTGCAAAAATCCTGATGACTATGGCCCATTCGTTGCTATCTAGTGACTTTCCAGGTTATTGTAGCCAATATGTACTATCACTAATAAATATATTTTTGTGATTTACCATAACCACAGTGAACAGGCAGTTCATCATACATTCCTTTTATGAGAACTTTCAAAATTAAAACATGCCCATTGATCCAAAAGGATTGGCTATTTTGTATGGCATGTTTTTCAATCTCTCTCTCTTCTTTTTAGGCCAACAAATGGAACTAATGGAGCTCACATGAAAACCATTCCAAGACAATAAGTAGGGCTTGCAACTGGATTTTTCCATGCACTCTTGCTGTGTTGTATAAATCCAGCATGATCAACAAAGAGACTCTGATGTCCTTGTAATAGTTTCTATTCATATATTAAGAATGAATCTCTTAGATCAGATCTTTGAAATCATGTGTTGTTATCTTTTATCATTTACTCATATCATTTACTCAGAAAGCAGTTTCTCTGTAAATTAGCAGGTTATGATTTTACTCCTACATATTGCCATGTTACAGAAATAAAGTCAATAGTGTAGTTTAGCTATAAAACAATAGTTTAGAAAAAATGTAATAATCTTGTGATACTTATGGATATAATTATGATGGAAAAACTACAAATTCAGGGAACATTCAATAACATTTATTCTCTGGGTAGCCAGATGGATGGAAGGGAAGCATTATCTTATCTTTCCTCCTACACATAGGTACATATGTATCATCCTTGTTGCAGTTGCCTTCTCTTTTTCCGCCCTGGAAGTTTTAATGTTCATAACCTGGGAGGATGGATGAAGGGATGTAAACATGTATACTCCAAGAAAATGTTACTTCCCCAAATTTCTGAATTAGCCTATAGAAGGAGCGAAGGGAGATGATGTTTTACCACTAGTCAATGCAATAATATAATTTATCCTATTTTAAGAAGGATTAGAGTATATAGAAGATCTTCTCTGGGTGTAGTTTCATAGCATTTCAAGATAGAACTGGGGAATACCTTGTCTGAAATTTCAAAGCCAGATAGAATAGTGATTTGACTCACTACAGAGCAGTTTTTAAAAATCTGATGTAATCACAATCATTCTATCTATAGTGGCAGGAAAGAGAAATAGTTTTGGCTGCACTTGAAAATCAACCCACCATTTTATCACAATTCCACAGATCTGTAATACTTTCAAAATGATATTGTCTGTATGCTGCAGAGAACAGCTTAAGTTAACTATTGTATCTCTTTGTTCAAAGATAACATCAAGTTTCAACAGGAAAGCATGTGAATCAAATTAGTGTGTGATAGAACTCACAGAAAGAAAGAGAAAGAAGATAAAATATATCTGAGTTTCCCATTTCTTTAAAAAGTGACTTACCACAATGCTAGGAAAGCATTTCAACAGGCTACCAACATGATAGTTTGTTTATTAAAAATGAAAGCTTCCTGACATTTCATTCTACTGATATATCACAGCTGAAAATGAAAAAGATCTGTTAGTAACTTCTCATATGTAACAGACTAAATGCACATGCATTACATTTAAATTTAGGCTTGGCATGTTTCTTCTTTGGCTCATGCATAATTTTATAGAAATCTCAAGAACATCACTGTAACAAATTGTTTTAATAAAGATATTAACCTATGATGTAATTTTGAATGTTTTTTAATTATAGAAATTAATTAACAGATTAATAGAGTTGGAAGAGACCTTGTAGGTCTCCTAGATGTGTGAGGCTTTGGTACTCGCCCTAGTCTCTCCCTCCTCCTGTGGACCTCCAGATCCTCTCTCCCAACCTTGTCTGGCCCAACACAGGCATCCCTTGATGTGAGTGACGTCAAGTTGGCCAGGCCCACATGACCATCCAATTATGCCTACCCAGCCACGCCTTCCTGGTTCTTTGAGGGCAATCATAATGCTGATCCAGCCCTCAATGAAACTGAGTTTGACACCAGTGTTGTAGGACTTCTCATCCAATCCCACACCAAAGCAGAACTTACAGCATTTCTGACAAATGGCAGTCCAGTCTCTTCTTGAAGGTCTCAAGTGAAGGTCCCACGACTTCCGAGGGCAAGCTGTTCCATTGGTTGATTGTTCTCACTGGCAGAAAATTTCTCCTTATTTCCAGTTTGAATCACTTCTTGATCACTTTCCACTCCTTGTCTGGCCTTCCAATGCTTTGGAAAATAACTTGACCCTCTCCTCTCTGTGACAGCCCCTTAAATATTGGAAGACTATCATGTCTTCCCTATTCCTTCTCTTCACTAGGCTAACCATACCAAGTACTTGCAATTATTCATCATATGTGTACTTTTGGTTTTTCTTGCCTAAGTGCAAGACTTTACTTTTCACTACACTGAATTTCATTTTGTTAAATCGGGCCCAGTGTTCAATCTGTCAAGATCTTTCTGGATCTTGAACATATCATCTAGGGTGATGGCTATTCCTGCCAGCTTAGTATCATCCACAAATTTGGTAAGTTCCCCTTCTATTCCCACACCTAACATCTAATCATAATGACACTGAGGAAAAATAGTATTAGCCTTGTCAAAGTTTTACAGCAATTTTATATGCAGTGTAAAAATATTGTTTGATGTTTTTTAAAGAAAAGTATTTACCTTTACCTTTTAGCATCTTATTTTCTAGAATTACCTTGCTTTCTTCAATAGAAAAAATGGAAAGTAATGTTTTCTACTTTCCATTTTCTCTATTGAAGAAAGCAAGATAATTCCCTTAGATTGGTGCAGCAGGCTGCAGTCCACCAGTTTTGATGCAGCTCAACTCAGTATCTTTGCTTTATTTTTATTGTATGTTTTAAGGGAAAGCCAGCCTAGTGCACATTTAATTAATTTTATTTTTAAAATGATACAGTAGTGTCAGTGATCCAGAATGTGGTACTGCCCAGAAAAGGAACTCCTACCCTGTTTCTCCAACAATACGGCCTCCCCCAATAGGAAGTCCCAGCATGTTTTATAGGCATGAAATGAAATTAAGCCCCTCCCCCCAAATTAAGGCCTATATTAAAACATGCGAAATGGGGGGGAATGGTGGGGGGGCTTGCCGATAGGAAGTACTTTTGTTGCACACCTGGATATGGTGCTGCCTGCGTTGACCCCAATACGAAGTGCCCCACCAACGCTGAGGTCAACATCCAAGCTGTCGCTGCCTGCCCGCCCGAAGATGCAGGGGGGGGATTTAAGTCACCCTCGAAAAGACGACCTAGCCATTTTTTCGGGGCTCAAGAAAGAATAAGACCCGGCCTTATTATATGAGAAACACGGTATTATTATTATTATCCTGGCTTCTAAAGTTAATTGGGAATGGATTAAGCCCAAGAGCAATTCACAAGAGCGATGAGGGTAGGTAGGATTTAAAATTATGAGAGAAATTGATTTACCTGGAAAATAAAACCCTCCATAATTAAATCTAGAAAACAAAATAGGCAATCTAATGCCAAGAAAACCATATTTATATGGCTGGATTTAGAGAAAATTCAATGCCTTATCTTGAAACCATAAGATCCTCTTCTAGTTACTGGAAAAGAGCACTGAGGTTTCACAAGAAGGTCTTGAGAAGATAACAGCCAGACCAAACCATATGAAATCCCGGTCACAGATTTTTCCAATATTCAAAAAGAACTTCTTCATTTTATAAAGATATGTACAATGGGAACATGGAGTATAAGAAAAATAAAAAAGGAATCTGGAATTATTAAAGCAGAAATGAAACATTCTCAATTAGATGTTTTCTGAATTTACATGGACAAGATGAAAATTAATCTGATTCTGAGAACATTCAAAACAAAAGAATGGTAATGATCCTCAAAAGAACATTACTAAGATTGTGTGTGTACACACAGACATGCACATCATATACACTAAAAAGAAGAGTATGAAGAGATAGCCTGGATCTATTGAGCTTATGTTAGGAAAGCAAAGGTCAAAATTAGCTGAAATTTGTGAAGAATACCAACAATACACTGACCTTTTGCAGACCTTTTAATCATATTCATCATATTAGTCTCTTTCTGGTAAATCAACATGACAAAAGTAAACAAAATGTATATTAAATTATATACAAAGAAGAATGGAGTGTAGAGGTAACAGAAAATGTAATCTACTTTACAGCAAAATTACTCATTATGTCCCCTCTATAGCTTTGTATCTTTGCTTCTATCATATTTAGACAGCAATTTACACAATGCCTTTTGTTTTTTAAATTCTCTCCCAACCCCACTCCCTGTCCCTCATCAACACTACCCAATCATAATTTTATTAGTCTTCCCTTCTTCTTGATCCATTCATTCTTCCTTTATATATAGATTCTGCAATTCATTTCTGATTAAGTACATTTATTGTCCAGTTAAAAGCTTAATTTAAGAATTTTATGAACTAAATTAGCAGACATATCATTATGATTCAGATCAGTATGAGGACACCTGTAAAGGTGCTTGCCACACTCTGCTCTGAAGAATTATAGTCTGTTGTCTATGTGGAGAAATATTAAACTATGGGTGGGATTTGCTAATGATGCAATTGGGAGATTTGTTTAATACATCTTGCATCATGTACACAACATCAATGCATCATGAGTAGAAAATGATATGAAGAAAAAATTTCTGCAACTTAAAACAGCATTTGCTACACAGGTTCCACACTCTGCCACCCAAAATACTAACATATCTAGAGAAAATTCATGAAAAATAATTTCTGAGATAAATGAAGTCATAGATAAATCACCATCATTTTTTAGAAAATGATATCTTATAAAAGCCAACAAACCTTTATTTCCTGGTAAGTTTCTGAAGGCAAAAGCTTGTCAGCTAATACAGCTGCCTCTATAATTTAGAGGATAATATAAAGAAACAATTGATTTCAACAGCAAAAGACAATTGTCTTTTACAGAAGTTTGAAGTACTTCACCATGTGTACCATTCAGTTGAGGTGTATATTGTAATTTGAAAATAATTAAAGAATTAAACTGAAAGATATCACAAGTCAAGACTTCTTTCAAAGACAAGAACAAATAAACTGCTTTGACATGGAAGAAATGTATCTATGGCTGCAAACTATACGTTTTCATTCTGTTCTGTAAACATTGTTGGCTTGGTATGTTGAAAAAAACTTCACAACATCACCGTAACGCGAATCAACATCATTGATAAATGTTACATTTTTATAAAGAAATTAGAAATTAGAATTCTTTTTTTTAAAATAAATTTTTATTCCTTAAAAAACAAAAAAAACAAAAATCTCATTTCCATTAACAGTTATTGTGTCATTGTATATACATGTTTCTTGTTTTGTGACTATACATTATTTTTATCTTTATTCTTCACCCATTCGTACCACCTCTCCCATATCGCATAGTATTCTCGATCATCTTTGCCTTTCAGTTCCATAGTGAATTTATCTAGTTCAGCACAGTCCATTATTTTTTGAATCAGAACTTCATCTGGTGGTATTTTATCACTCTTCCAATTTTGTGCTAAAGTGATTCTTGCTGCAGTTAAGATGTATACAATAAGGTATCTTTTATCTTTACTCAAATTCCCTTTAATCATACCTAATAAAAATGTTTCAGGTTCCAATTTCAATTTATATTTTGTAATCTCAAAAAGCCATCTCTGTATTTTCTTCCAGTATTTTTTGACCTCTATACATCAACTTCTAGTTCTTGGTTCAAGTCTTTTCCCACTCATCCAAATTTATATTATGACCCACATTTCCCGCCCAGGCGATCATTGATCCCTTAACAATTTCCTCCTCTAGTTCTACCTCCAGTGATTAATTATACGTTCGTGTTATAAATTTTATATCCTTGCCTGCCAAGTCTTGGTCCAATTTTTGTAAATCTTTATCTATCCCTAGCTCCTTTACATCTTTCTTAAATTTAGTTTGAATTTGCAAATATACCCACCAGTCTAATGTTATCCCATGTTCTTTTAGTTTATCCAGTGTTTTTAATTCCCCCTGTTCATTCTTTATATCTAATCATTTTTTTAATCTCCCTTGTATTTGGATATAATATAGCTTCCATAGGTGAGATCCAGTTTGGTATTTTCAAATATTGCTTTTTTAATTTTCTCCCATATTTGTAAAAGTGAGTCCCTTATCAAATGTCTATGGAAATAGGAGTGGATCTTATTCTTTTTATCCCATATAAAGGCATGCCACCCAATTTGGAGGTCATGACCTTCTATCGCCAAAATTCTTTTATTTTTTAAATTTATCCACTCCTTAACCCATAGTAAAATTGCTGCTTGATAATATGTTTCCCATTTTGGGAGTCCAAGGCCGCCTCTGGTTCTACTATCTTGTGACGTCTTCAATTTTATTCGTGCTTTTTTCCCCATCCAGATAAATTTCATTACTGTCTTATCTAATTCCTGAAAAAATTTCTTATCCAATTTTATAGGTATTGTTTGAAAATAGTATAATAGTTTCAGTAGTATGTTCATTTTTATGGCCACTATTCAGCCTAATAGTGATAATTGTAATTTTCCCCAATTGGTCAGGTCTTTATCTGTAAAAGTAATTTCATATAAGTATCCTATTTTATGGAAGAGCATCTTCCAGTTAAACAAATTCCTAGATATTTAAGTTTTTTGA